GAAATAACTACTACCTCCGTCCCGTGAAACATTTCCCCTTTCTTTTTTTATCCGTCCCACAAAACACTTCTCATTTCTATTAAAAAGTCACTTTTACCCCTTACTTTTTCATACCCTAACTATCACATCATACCTTTTTACTAATAATCTATCCATCAAATCATACTTTTACCCATCACATCAAAGGACATTTTTGGAAATTCAATACCAAAATACACTCCCTCAAATCCCTCCTAAAAAGCAAATGTCCCATGTTTCACGGGACGGAGGTAGTACAAACTAGGACTAAGATCCAAAGGACTATCCAACCACCCTAGTCCTAGACCTCCGAACGCTCTTATCTAAGGCTATATGCTCGGTAAGATCCTGAAGTTGTAAATCCTGCCTAATCACTTTCTTCCTACTCTTCTTAGATCTACCTCTACCCCTCCTTATGCCCCACCCCCTACCTTAAGTTTCCCACCTCTTCACTAGGACATCTGTACTTCTCCTCAACACGTGCCCAAACCGGCTCGGCCTAGTTTGCCACAACCTATCTTCCACATAGACCACTCTCACCCTTCCCCGAAAATCCTCGTTCCGGATTTAATCCATCTCCTCAGCATCCTCACATCTGCCACTCGTAACTTCCGAACATGAGTGTTCTCAAATAACTTATTTTAACCTCTTGATTATTTTCAAAATTAATACTCCATAGTTCGATTGACCTAGCTCTCAAATAAGATCTGCAAAACACACATTTCCAAAATATTATGATAAAACTGACCAAATCATCTTGGAGGGTATTTTAATTCAAAGGAAATTGTTAATGCTTCTACATGATCGATTGCCACATTTACTAAAAAAGCATAGTGCCAATCAAAGAACATGAAAATGATGGTAAAGAAAACAATGAAGTGCACACAATGCTAAGTGGTGGAGGAGAGAAATCCTCACTGTGATGTTTCTCAAGAGTGCATCAGTAATATCATGATGGTTGTAAGATTTCGGGTGCCATTTCCCTTCAGACCAATCAACGTGGGTAACAGACCAATTTGCAACTCCATACGGATCATGCATCTGTAACATAGATGGGATAATCATTGCTTAAAAGTGATATTATAATACTGGTTAAGATGGTTTAAAGTGAAGAAAATTCATAAAAACTCACATGAAAAAAGGTTGGCAAATAGTGCTCATCAGAATAGCAGTGAAGTCCACCCATGTTTGGCTGTCAAGTCAAATAGTTAGAGGCAAGATCTAAACATATGAGAGTTTTAAATGTAAATATGACCTGTCATATACATACCAAAATAGAGGAGATAGAAGAAATAAATAGATAACATTATTCAAATTACTTTCATCTTAAATGCCAAACTTCATCAATCATTAATTTTTTATTCTAGTCATGTGCAGCTTCTCCAATAAGGAATTCATGTGTTTTCACAACTCCTGAAATTGGACACCGCACATTCCTCTAGTATGGAGTACACCATGCAGTATGAGTGACTCCAAGTAGTAGTGTGGATTCCTATCATTCTAATCATGATTTTATATAACTCCCTTTTATTCAATTGTGGATACCAAACCAACCTAAACAATGCATTAGATGAAATGGTTGGTGACTCAATTCTCACTACTATATCCAACAGCAACACATGCCTGTTAGAACAGTTCTATCAGTGATCAGTCAAAAAGAACTCTTATTAGTTATTAAAATGCTAAAGTGCATGTAGAAAGTAAGCAGTGAAGAAGGAATGATAAAAGTGGTCTAACAAGAATGCATAGTTTCTAATTCAGGTACATAATGTCATAATCCAGAGCCAACAGACTTGATCTTGCTAAAAAGAAATTATAGATCCCACAAAAGCAATACTCAATAAGACAACTACCTTACAGTAATCACGGAACTTTGAATAATAAAGATTATCAGCCATAACTACAAGAGCATGTCGCCGCTTCATTGTGAACCACTGCAAAAAATCAAATGATAAGACATTATGATAAATCCAATGAGCACACTGAAAGCACGAAGAAATGGGCCTAAGATGAACCTGTGCACCCTTTCGAAAGTCTTTCTTTTCAACTTCAGGTAGCATGCGTTCAGAATACCGGCCATTTCCATGGGGGCCAGGATCCACAAAACTAGAAATAACAGAAAGAGGCACATCAGTAAGATGAAAAAAGAAACAATGTGGGGTCAAACATCAAGAGAATCTTATTAGATGGTACTATTGCTAGCTTTAACCTATTTGACATCATAAAATGGGGCATAATAAATAAACATTAATTGATCCTTACCTGTCTACAAAACTGATGTTTGTGTTCATCAGATAGTTGTACACATAATCAAAACCATGCAATGGCACACAGCTGCAAATCCAAAAGGTAAAATATCAAAAAAAAAAAAAAAGAAACACTAGTCAGGTTCTATCGTTCAGACAAGTGAAACGTAAGGCATCATTAGCCACCTGTCAGAGAGTAAAACAAAGTGTAAATTGTCAAAATCTTTGAGTGCACTAGCTAAAAGCCGCCTCTCAGCATCAACCATTGAAATTGTCCCCCATGATACCTGCAATAAATGCATACAAAGTTAAAATTGTAAATGTATGATTTGGCTTGGTGTGAGTTTGTTCAAGATCCTCAGATGGGTTCAAAACACATAACCAGAAATAGATCAATTTCTTGGGCCCTGAACCCATGACTTGAAAGACAATGGTGATGACCTGGCAGGACACCAAGCCAGAAGTTTACTTATCACCCTTCAACAAAGCTACAAGTTACGTTACGCTCTGTAGAAAGTACTAAAAACGTCTTTAATTCATACTCCTTCCTTACCATAAAAATCTTCCTACTTTCCCTTTCTGGATGTCCCACACAAAAAGTTTCAATGTTATTTCCTTTCAAAGAATGAAACATGTGGCTCACAAAATCGCTCTCTCAACTAAACAAATTTTAACCAAACACTTTTCACTGTTCATTCATTTTTAAAGTTCTATGAAAGTCAAACTAGGCAGTTTTTTATGAGACGAAGGAAGTACATTACTAATGGCAATTCTTCGCATAAATCATTTGATGTGGTACATTGTGGGATGCTTTGCAAATGAATGTGCATTTTTAACTTCAATGAAACAAAAAAAGGGGGTGGATAATGCTTCGTTCTTTGTTTCCTAAAAACATTGTCAAAACACTGGCCTTGGGCATTCTTTAAAAACTTAAAACATTGGCATGTTCAATTTTTCATTTAAAAATGATTGCTTCCCACATTGTTTCTGTTTTTATTTTCAAGTGTCACACACTCACTCATATGCATTGAATTTCAAGTGCAAACTCAATGGAGTCAACTACAAGCAGATGTCCACCAAAAGCATTGGTCTCAAATTTCCCAGAATGCTCAACCAGTTCCACCCCCGCCCCCAACGACTCATACCATATTTAAGCCTAACCCTAAGGCCTTAATACACCTTACTTCCTACCAAAAATAGACAAATTAAAGCCATCCACGCAGAATACCTCTCAGTTCCTTCCCATCAATTTAAATATGAGCAAACAAATAAACCAAAACTTCCCAGACCACATATTTCAGCAAGGAAAAACATTACCAAATGGCCCATAAGGTTGTATAAAGATAATAGGCACAAGAAACATTGAGTTCAACTATTGATAATGACCACAAACCTTGGCACTACGGATCTCCCGACCTACAAAGTAACGGCTAAAATGAACTGGCCTCTCCTTGGATGCATGAACATAGACACTGAATTTACCTTCATGTCCCTGCTATCGCAAATTGATTAAAAAAAAGTAGAGTGGGTACACATATGAGCTTCCTAAGCAAAAAGCAACAAGGTATTTGAATTTTTAAAAAATATGAATATCTCTTCACATTTACTCCAGTAAAAACGAATATACAGCATTTGTTCAAATGAATCAAAACAGCATAGGATCCACCAATAGTATTAAATTCACAATTTCACATAGAAAGCCTTCAATATTACACAACTGTCTGTATTTGTAAGTATTCAACTTTCATTCGCTTAGCTTCAGTCACTGATGGACTTGTTATGTTTCATCTGACATTTCCCTTATCACAGAGAGTCTAAAAAGCATTATCACTAGGTCAAGATCATGATTAAGTAAATGTTTTTAGGACAAGTCAAATTTTAGGGTACTGATTTATTTAGTCGAATGAGCTTAATAGTTACTCCGTAATTGTTACCATTAATTCACTTATGACATATATAGCTATCAACATCAATCACATAGAGTATGTAATGCGAAATGCTACATGCTGTATAGTTCCATGTGACTTCAACAATAAGGACCATATAGATATAGATTACTGATAGATATTTCAAGTAAACTAAAATCTAAGATGAATTAATCATTAATGTGGTACTCATGAGGTTTTGACACACATATATCCATGCCCCTCATGTTTAACAACCACCCTCAAATGTCTCTACCGTTAGTCTGTGTTATGAGAGAATAAAGCTTGTATCCCTGAGGTTTGAGAAACCTCTTACATGTCCCTGAATTCTGGGACAACCTACTTTTGCAGTTTCCCGCACATAATGTTCAATGTGGGTACAACCTAGTGTAATGCATTTCATTTATGCAAGATCAAAGTCCAATGTGAGTTGAGCAGTATAGACTATAGAGCCACACATAATATGAACATGTTGGTTCTTTATTTTTACTCTTAGCCCAACATACTAGCCTGGGAAAAAAATTACAATCTAAAGTTCACATTGATTTTGAGGTTTACCTATTTTGTACTAACAACAACTATAGTTATTGACTTATTCATCAACTCATCATCACTCATTATGTAGTATGCGATGTGATTATTTTACTTGTTTAGTTAAAAAATACATTATTTGAATAGATATATTTAATAAATTAAATGTTTTGGAAGCTATTGTAAATTCACACAAACATTAATTGTGTTTTCTAATTATTTGAGGTACATACAAGTAATGATTAATTGGTATAGAAATTACTGTTGTACAGAGTATTAATTTAATCATTATTGATAGAAATATAAGTTTTAAAGCAAAATCTAATGCACCTAAGTATTATTTAAAGATTTACTTTAAGACTTTTATCTCTAGAATTTGAAGGTACAAGCCATGAGCATGACATAAACTAAATACTAGCTCACCTGGACTCATCATTATTATGTGCAAGTGAGTACTATTCAATTTGAGTACTATTATAGTACTTACTTATACAAACACAAATGCATGTAAAGAGGCTCGTGCAATCAAGAGCAATTTGCTCTTAATGGAGACTTGCTACAGGCGGCTTTGAGGATGGTTGTAAAGCCTGAGAAGCACAATTGTAAGTTTGTCCAAACCTCAAGGATAGCATTGTAATTCACCCTTAGAACTATACATTTATTGCCACTTGATGCATGGGACATTTCACGAGTGTATTGCTTTAGTACTCATTTATAAAACCTAAGTAAATCCATTAAACAATTGCATACAATCATCATTTATAAGATCACAACATAAGTGGAACTTTTAAATTTGAAACTAATCCTAGAGAACATGGTAGTAGTTCATGTTGAATTAAAATCATCATGTGATATTAGAACAAAGTCAACAAACTAAGGTATTTTGTTTCCTCTTAATATAAAAACCAGCATGGAAGCTTCTCCAGCTTCTATACATGTTATAGACATGATATTTCTACGGTTTACAGAGCAATTCCCCCCAAAAAAAGTAAACAAACTAATATAAACATAAGTTAATGATGAATGGAAGATAAATTCGAATAAACTAGATTTTACAACATGAACAGGTGACAAACCTGAAAGAATATGTCCCATAGCTTCTCAAATGGTAGAGCACCAGGTGTTAAAAATAGAAATGCGATCTTTGGGATTTTTGGTATAACTGCGGGTGTATCCAAAATATCTCTAATTACAACATGAGAAGCTATCTCTTCATCTGATAATTCTCTAGCAGGATCAGAGGGAAGCCAGTCAAAATGGTTCTTGCAGCCACGAGAGGAGAACAAAAAACAAGAGGCGGAATTCGTTGCAGGGTAGACATAAGCACAGACCAAGAAAAAGCTAACTAACGAGACCAGAACAATTATCCATGTCGGCTTCTTCAAATGGGGGCGCTGGCGAGGGACAGAGAACATCTGCATACCTTTCATGCAGCGCCATGACTGTTTTATCTTCATCTAGAGACAAAGCATTAGCAAAGCCCAGAAGCAGCAAGCGTCCCGCATCAAACAAATTGTACCAAAATGGAATTGGTAAGCAATTCTTACTTATATGGCGGCGAACTGGAAGCTAACGCGCAGAAACAGATCGGACGGGCGGAGACGATGCTCGAATTGGGTGGGGATCAAACAGCGCGCGGAGATGGATCCATCGCCCATGATTGAATCAGAATTCACAGCATATTGAAATGGAGATCCGATGATAGAATTGGGATTCGCAGCAGAATGAATTGGGGATCCGACGATTGAATTGGCATTCACGGCAGAACGAATTAGGGATCCGATGATTGAATTACGGTGTAATGATCGATGATTGCATTAGACGGACCTCCTCCCATCGGCCATCATTTCGTTTTTGGAGGTAAGCCGGCGGGCAATATTTTTTACTACTTACGTAGTATTTTTTATTTTATTTTATTGAGATAGAATTATTAATTGAGTAAGAGAGTGTATATGGTACAACCTGTTATATCTAGAATTATGTACATCCAAGTATTATTCATTCTGAAGTAAAACAATACTCATTTTCAAATGTATGTAAACGTTCATTTTAAATACGCAGTACTCATTCTGAAATAAAATAATATTCATTTTAAAATAATGAAGTATTCATTTTCATACATTTGTTTAGTATTCATTTACGAATAACTTAGTATTCATTCTGAAATAAAGTGATACTCATTCTCTAATAAGATAGTATTGCTTACTCCTTATTTTCTTTAAATTTGATAGAAAAATATAATCTCCAACCTCACCACCGCGCACTACGGTGACCTGCTGATCTCGCTAGGATTCTACAAACATCCTCCCCAGTCCCCACGCATCACCTTCATCCCACATCCTCCACGCAGCCGCCACTGCATTCAACTTCTATTTCCGTTGTATCTTCGCACTAGGGCCGGTCCCTCTTTCGTCGGTGCGCCTCCCCTTCCGTCGATCTAATTTCCGGTTGTACCGAAAAAACGGTACAACCGAATGTACCTTATAATTTGCGCCCGGAGTAGACATCTTTAGGCCTATTTTTCAAACAATTGAATCAAGCATCACTAATTAGTTCTAAAAAACAAAGTAAGAATCAAATTATATAGTTAATTGAATTGTACCCCCATAATTTATATACTTGTACTAGAAGGTCTATACAAATTTGGGTGCACGCACTTAAAAATATTTTGTTCACCAAATTTCATTCTCATACTATAGTCCTGTTTGGTTTCATTTCACTTTTTAGTTGATTTTATTATCAGAATCTAATGTTTTAGAATTAATAGATTATAGAAAACTAATATGTTAATTATTTTTAGAGTTAATTATGTTATGTTCAATATCTTCAAAAGAGTGTTACTTTAATTTTCATCTTCAAAACGTCCATGTTTTATACTTAGAGACATCCTCACTCTTGAGTCCTTTATAAATTTAAAGATTTTGATGATGTCATACTTTTATTTTTATTTTTGTCTCAGTGCAACTTAATATTCTATAAATAAAATGAAGGATTGGTTCTTTTTAAATTAAATGCACAACTTTGATTAACTATAAATTGAGCATCTACATAATTAACTATCAAATCAAGTTTTTCAAAATCAAAATACAAATGACTCCTTATATATAATACGGAGTAGTGTATTCTAACACTTTTTAAAAAAATACTCATTACATTTAACTAGTTACTAGCATATAGATTTTGATAATTAAAATTAGCTAGATGAAGCAATAATAATTTTAACTAAAATTTAGAAGTTAAAGTTAGAGTGACCAGGATATGAAAGTTGGTATGTCGAAATTATAATGGAGTCTTGAATTTGAATAGCAAAGATATAAAGTTGAAAATTTATCACATGGTGGTTCATATGACATTACCTCGTAATGTCTTGGGATGACCTGGGACGCTAAGGTACCTCGTTTGTAAAATTGACGATTTTTATCCCCGATAAACCTTCCTATTCTGCCGCGATTTGAATATACATTCACCTCTTTCAGTTGCATCCCCCAAGTTAATTTTGATTTAGAATCAATTTTGACTCCAAAAGCAGGGGAGGACAGACATTCTTTTTTTCCAAATCCAACGGGCCAAAACCGGAAACCAAACCATGAGTTTAAAGTCGAAACAATTCAATTTTTTTTGGCAAATGCGAAGGAGAACATATTCGCCCGCCCCAAAGCAAAGCAGTCCCGACCACGAAAGGGCCCATCTTTATTCCGCAATTGGCCTCTTTTATTTTACTCCCTTACTTTTGTTTTTTTAGTAGTTTTGAATTCTGTTCATAAATCATTAAAAATATTGATTATTACGTATAATATAATAAAATTTATTTTAAAATGTAATATTCATATTTCAAATTTACATTATCTTAAAAACAATCATCTAAAATAAGACCAAAACGTATATATTATCTCCATAATAAGACCATAAGAATGGTATACTTTTATATCAAAATAGGATCATTGCATTATAAAAAAATATACTTATATTATTGTATATTGACATTTTATAATGTATATCAATATATTATTATTTTGGTATTATTAATTATATATGTCATATTTCAGAAAAACATGAAAATCTTATTTTAGTATTTTTTTTCACTTTGATTATAAATTTTTCTTGTCTAAAACTAATTTAGTTAAAGGTATATTTTAAGAGACCGCAAAATAATCAAGACAAATTATTCCGTCTAAATTCATTTTATGAATCTTAATATATAAAAATTCATATTTCACACGAGTCACCAATGAAACTAGGACAATAATTTGGGGAATGAGGATACATTTCTTTTTTCCTTCTCTCTTCTTCCTCCTTTTTGACCGTTGCTTTTCCTCTCTCTTCCTCACCTTCCCCAAACCCCATTGTCTGCAAAAAAAAAAAAACAAATTTCCACTAAAAAACAGAGCTCCTCGCAGTAATAATGGAGCCAGCAGAGCCTGTGAACAAAGGTGCGCACTTCTTCTTCTTCTTCTTCTTCTACTTCTTCTTATACGTCTTATTCTTGTT